TTTACCATTTTCGAAATTATTAACCGGTATATGTTTTACATATGTATGTACATCAATTCTATCTTTTGAGCTATGCAATACAAACCATTTTTCGAACCCAAAACTTTTCAAACCATATAAACCAAAAAATTAATTAACCGAAATTCCAAATTGATATTCAATAAAATTTGCAAAACCTCAAATTTCGTCCAACGCTGTTGCCCACTACTGTAAATTCCACATTCCAACTGGTTACAGGTTCCAAAGCCTGGCATATGCGCCTCACGTTCGAACGTCTGTCCGGCGGCTGTAATCTGCACCGCTGCAAGCTGTGCGGCAAGGTCGTCACCCACATACGCAACCACTATCACGTCCACTTTCCCGGCCGCTTCGAGTGTCCGCTCTGTCGCGCCACTTACACGCGCAGCGACAACCTGCGAACGCATTGCAAATTCAAGCATCCTATGTATAATCCGGATACGCGCAAATTTGAAAATCTAATGTCGGCGGCTGCCGCGAGTGCAGCAGTGGCGGCGCAATCGCCGACGGCCACGCAAATAGCGGCTGCCTCGCAAGCGGCAATGGCGGCGGCGGCGGCTGCGGCGGCCTTCAACGCGGCGCAACAGCAGCAGCAACAGCAACAGACGCACCAGCAGCAACGCGAGCGTGAACTTCAGCAGCAGCAGCAGCAGCAGGCTCAGACGCAGCAGCAACTGCAGCAACACGCACACAATTTGTCACAACAATTGCAACAGCATGCGCATAATTTGAGCCAACAGCAGCAGCAACAACAACTGCTAACCGTGCAACAGCAGCAACAGCAATATCAGGCGCTGCCGCACCAGCAACATAATGCGACAAGTGAATGATACAGCCAGTATTTGGNGCAACAGCAACAGACGCACCAGCAGCAACGCGAGCGTGAACTTCAGCAGCAGCAGCAGCAGCAGGCTCAGACGCAGCAGCAACTGCAGCAACACGCACACAATTTGTCACAACAATTGCAACAGCATGCGCATAATTTGAGCCAACAGCAGCAGCAACAACAACAACAACTGCTAACCGTGCAACAGCAGCAACAGCAATATCAGGCGCTGCCGCACCAGCAACATAATGCGACAAGTGAATGATACAGCCAGTATTTGGGCTGGAACTATGGCAACATGTTGAACAGCTCATCACCGACGGCGTCAGCAACAGCCACAGCTGCCGCTGCCGCTGCCGCTGCAGCCGCTACAGGTACAGCAAATTCTTTTCTTTGGAACATCGAGCCGCATACGCTACCGCCACAGCCAACAACGCT